AAGTTCTGGCTAGTCTGGCCAATATAAGAACAATTACAATCCAAAACAATTTATTTTATAAACTATATCTTTTTTTTGTTAAAGGGTTCATCTTTAAAGTTGGAATATAAAATTTTAATTGTTCCAATGAAGAAAAAGTAAAATTACTTGCAATTAATTTGTTTCCATATTTGTTGATTTTTGTACGTAATCGCACTCGTTTTGTTAACTTCCCGTAGGGCAAGTTATAGTAATCGCAAAAAAATCGAAAATGAAATTTTTTATATATCTTTACGTTTCAGAGGTTTCTGAACATTTTGGCATACCTTAGAAAAAATGGATGTATGTGTATGTGGTGTGTGTGTGTGTATGTGTGTATGTATGTACGTGTGTGTATGTATGTGCGGATACAAATTTTCGTCGACGATTTCGGGAATACGGATCAACCGATTTAAATAATTCAAGAAACATTCGATTCGTATTGATAAGGAGACGTGCTGATTTTGGCGAAGGCAGGTCTAGCCGTTCCGAGGATACGGGGCGAAAGGTGCCGGAAACGGTAACTCCGCTTTTAAGAGAACGGAGCGTCCGATTTGAATAATTCAAAAAACATTTTACTTGTATTGATAAGATGAAGAATCGATAAAATTTTCATGAAGGTAGGTCTAGCGGTTTCGGAAATATGGAGGAAAAAGTAAAAAAATGAGCCATTTGGCGGTCAAAAATGATCATTAGACATATGCACATCAAATTATCAGATATTTTATAGAGATTTTAACAATAAGTATAAATTTTGTTTACATTCCTATGGGTTTCCGTACCAATGCTGATGCGTTAGACAGCGACGCGGCGCTTACGCGCTTTATATGTTGTCCCTATGCAGTTAAAGCAGTACGATTGCTTTAAAAAAAAGTTCAGATCTTCCACAATATGTCAAAATAAAGAAAATTTTTTTTTCAAAAAAAAAAATTAAAAAAATTATTTTTTTAAAAAAAATTTTTTTTCAAAAAAAAGTAATTTTTGTCCAATTTATAGTTTCTCAAAAATCTTTTTTTCAAGGTAAATTTTTTTCAAAAATGTTTTAAAAAAAATAATAATTTTTGGTACGGGAAGTTCCAGCAATTGCCTTAAGGCACGATGCCTTAATTGCCTTAAGACAGAATTCCACTTACAGCTAGTTTATATTTAATAATACCCTTCCTGTTCTCCATCTCGATACTTAAGATTTGTTTAATAATATGTAACCGTCACATGTTTTCTAGTACTGAGTTAAGCATTGCACGGAATAGTTGGTGTTTTTGTATATCAAAAATTAAATAAAATATTGAAGAATGTGTATATATATATATATACTCATATATATGTGTGTATATATACTACATTAGATAAGAACTATTTACTAGTACTACTAAGTAAATATAAGACCAAGGCATACCTTGGTCTCGAAATGTCTGTAATTATTAAATAAAGTGTGTGTTAAAAATCTGAGTATATATATATATATATATAATATATATATATATATATTATATATATATACCTGATCGTCTTATAGAGATATGCTCGGCAGGAACATCTGATGTAACCGAATCTGGAGTATCTAGCACAACTGGAACACCTGCGTGTGCAGATAGATCCGCTACAATTTTAATTGAACCTATTAATTTTACTGAAATTTCAAGTATAACCTGTATAAAATAACTTTAAAATACCTTTAATGAAAGATCAAACATCCAGCGATCCAGAATGCAATAAGGTTATTTCATTTTGAATTACATTTTCTTTATTAAGTGATATTACTGCAACTGTTTGCACTGTAAAGTGCATTGTAAAAAATGGCTTTGCATGACAATCTTCTGCAATAAGAATAACACATTTTATTTAATTTGTTTAATAACTAGAAAATAAATAGAAAAAACTAAATATTTGGGTATGATTATAAACCAGAAACTAGAATGGAGTGACCAAATTGAGAAAATCAAAAAAAAAATTGCAGCACTTTCTGGGGCCATAAGAAGAATACGACACCTTGGAATTAAGAACAAAGAACTAATATTAAAATCTCATATAATTCCGATTATGACGTACGGCATCACGATTTGGAGTCAAACAATAAATAAAAATATAAAGACACTACAAAGAATAATGAATAAAGCAATAAAATCAACTTACAATTATCCCTACCTCACCCCGACAAAAGAACTTCTACAAAAGAGTAAGAACATATCACTACACAAAACAATAGAAATAGAAAAATGTATACTAATACTCAAAATAAAAAATAACAAAATCAAAACTTGCACCAAAATAGAGACAAACCAGGATATACACGACCATCAAACAAGACAAAACCGAAACTTTCACATGAAACATGCAAAAACTAGTAAAGGACTTGCAAGTCCTCTGAGAAGTGCAAGCAGCCTTTACAATAAACTACCGGACGAACTAAAGACAATGACGGACAATTTCAAAATTAAATTGAAAAATTACATAAGAGATAAATGAAACAAATGAGTTAAAATTCCTATTTTAAATACTATATTACTTCTGCTTTGTAAAAATATTAATTACAATTAAGTATAAGTATGTATGTATGTACGCAAACATTCTGTGTTTATATATGTGTGTATAATAGTAATAAGTAAAAATATATGTCTTAATGTAAGTCTGTTACATAAAATTTAGATTTTATTTTTGTTATAATTGCTGTGATCTCTCATACCAGAATAATTGTCTGACTGAGATACAGTATGTATGAATTATATCAAATAAATAAATAAATAAAAATAAAAAAACTAATCCAAATTGCATTATTCAGAGATACATAACATAAAATTCAAATCCTACATAGATAAATTATATGCCAAGTTATTTCTTACCAAAATTGTCTTCTCTAAGGAAACAATTCGCTTTTGGTTTTGGTTTTCCCCAAAAATAATCATTTTGCCTATATGAATTGTCAACATTTGGACCGCTGACCAAACACTATTCACCACTTTTACTCATCATTACGAATTAAATGTTTTTTGAATCATTCAAATTGGATGCACCTTCTCTAAAAAAACTCGATTTCTATTTTCTACACTTTTTGCTTCGTAACTCCGAAATGGCTGGCCTACCTTTACCAAAAACTAATCAGCACGTCTCTCTATTTGTAAGAATCAATTGCTTTTTAAATTTTTCAAATCGGTTGATCCGTACGCTTGAAATCGTCGATGAAAAATTGCATCCACACATACATGCACATATCAATTTTTTCTAAGGTATGCCAAAATGTTTAGAAACCTCTGAATCGTAATGATATGCAAAATTTTTCAGTTTCGTTTTTGGGCGATCACAATAGCTTAACCTACGGTAAGTTAAAAAACTAGGCTTTTTTGAAGATTCTACTAACAGTTGTGGCTCAATTGCAAATCTTATTAAACCTGGAATGAATGTACATCATTAATAAAATATTTACCCTAAAGCCATTGATAACAATGTTTATTTATTTTTTAAAATGTATAAATTAATTCATATATCTAATAACATTAATTTCTATAAGCAGTCATATGTAATTTTGTTACCAATTTTGAATACTAATTACTTATTGGTATGAGCAACCATGTGCCTTTTCAGGGCTTTTGAACGTTTGAATACTTTATCACAAATTTGCATTTGTAGGGGCATTCTTCGGTATGAATGACCATATGTCTATTCAAGTTACACAAGTAACTGAATGTCTTATCACAAACTTGGCAAATATAAGGATTCTCACCAGTGTGGATGAGCATATGTTGATTCAAGTTACCCATTTGTGTGAATGCCTTTTTACATATTTTGCAAATATGAGGACGTTCACCAGTGTGAATTAGCATATGCAATTTCAAGGTACTCAATCGTGCGAATGTTTTATTACATATTTGGCAAATATGTGACTTTCACCAGTGTGAATGAGCATATGTTTATTCAAGGTACCCATTTCTGTGAATGCCTTATCACATATTTTGCAAATATAGGGGCGTTCACCAGTGTGTATTCGCATATGTTGATTCAAGTTACCCATTGTGTGAATGCCTTTTTACATATTTTGCAAATATGGGGACGTTCACCAGTGTGAATAAGTATATGTTTATTCAAAATTTCAAATGTTTGAATGCCTTTTTACATATTTTGCAAATATGGGGACGTTCACCAGTGTGAATTAGCATATGTCTATTCAAGGTACCCAATTGTGTGAATGTCTTATCACAAATTTGAAAATATTGGGGCGTTTTTCAGTGTGAATCAACATATGTCTATTCAATGAGAAAATTGTGTGAATGTCATATCACAAATTTGGCAAATATAGGTACGTTCACCAGTGTGAATAAGCATATGCCTATTCAAGACAACCAATTGTGTGAATGTCTTTTCACATATTTGCAAATATAGGGCGTTCACCAGTGTGGACGAACATATGTCTATTCAAGGTACCCAATTGTGTGAATGTTTTATCACAAATTTGGCAAATATGCGAACGTTCACCAGTGTGGATGATCATATGTCTATTCAAGGCACTCAATACTGTGAATGTCTTATCACAAATTTGGCAAATATAGGGACGTCCACCTTGTCCCTTTGCAGTATGAGCGCGAATATTTCGTTTCGATTACTAGATTCATTCAAATGTAAAATCTGTTCTTTCGCAGAAGCGCAAATGTGTTGATCTAAATGATATTTTTCAGTAAATGCTTTATTGCACTTTGTACATGTGAAATGTTTTTCACCTGTATGAGATTTTATATGTATTCTAATGCACTTGCATCTGAAAAAGTCTTTGAACAATATGTACACTATGACAATAATTTACCATATGCTGTTCTAAATAATGCAACTTTCTAAATGTTCTATGACACTTGTCACATTTATAAGGAGCAGTTTGAATTATTTCCTGTTTGACATCTTCTTCTATTTTTACAATAGAGTTCATAAATCTCTTTAGACATGTTTTGTCATCCTCTGAGCACGATTCAGGGTCTTCCTCAATTTCCTGTTAATGTCTTCGATTGGATATTCTTGTGGTTCAATTTTAATTATCGGATCATCAGCAGCTTCTGACATTTTCAGATATTTGTGCACTGAGTATGTTCTATAAGCATGAACAAAATAGTTGGTTAGTTTAAATTAACTATTGTTAAATATGATAATTAATTTGATTAGAAATACAAATGAAAACATTAGTTATTGACAGTTGGAGCATGGAGTATGATTTTAGAAAGTGCATTGCATTTATGCTTTCATAACATTTTACAAGAGTGTATGTTTAAATTAATAATCGTTCTCAACTGTCAACACAAATGATTCTGAGAATATAATATATTCGTAATGGATTTGTCTAAGCATGTAATCTTACATTAAGTTAACAGGAGTCTATTTTGGACAATGTCGCCAAGAGAATTTCTTCTTCAAAAGACTTTATATTTGACAGACAGTGATTCTGAATCAACTAAAGCTATTGACTTGTCATATAATTATTGCAGAGCTGAAATGAAAAAAAGTAAAATTTACTTTACGTTTTCTTTGCGTATCTTTATTTAGAATTAAATGTTTTTTTCGGAATGAAATGAATTTAATTAAAAGTTAGTCACGTGGAATAACCTCAAAGTATTATACACTACCTTTATGTTCAGCAATCAATCACAAATACCGCTTTATAATACATATTATTATATATTTATATTTAAATTTATACATACTGAATATACTTAAACATTTAATTAATAATTAAATATACAAAAAATATAAAGTTCGTTCAGTACATTAAAATTTGTTAGTCAGACACAAACAGGGACACAAACAGAAGCAAAATCCTCGATCACAACCGTGATTCGTATTATCGACATGTAGGTGAGAATTCGGCGCTAGTGAGCCGATGTTACTTAATTAAAGGAAGAGTTTCAAAACACCGGATAACAAAGTGCTGAGAAAGTGGCTGAAGTTAGCTGTAACACATTACCAGATTTGTCAAATCTTTTGCACTGTGCTTTCAACTTTTTTATGTTGGAATCGCTGTTACGATTACTTCATTACTATAATTTTTTTTCGGCGTGCTTATTGTGTAACTCGTCGTATCGTTTTATATTTTATTCGCGTTTTCTTTCATTTCGTTTTTTTGCTACGTGTACTAATCATTTTGTGCTTTTTCTGATTGTGCGTTATTTTATTTCTTTACATTTTATATTTGTTGTTTTATTGCGGGATTCAAGAGCTTCTATAGGAATAAGGTTAGTTTCTTTCCAGCAAGAGACGCGAGTTTTTTCATCCCATTACCTTTTAGTTTCATTCAGTTTTTAGCCTTTAATTTTAGCCGTTAATTTACTTTATTCACTTAGATTCTTAACTTTGGTTTTATCACTTAGATTATTAGATTAAGTTTACTTTATCCCTTACATTCTTAACTATACGATTCTTACATTCTTAACTATACTATTATTAGATTCTTAAATTACTTTAATCACTTACATTTACTTTACTTACTTTACTTTAATCACTTTAGGCTAGCACTTAGATTATTCACTTTAGGCTATCACTTAGGTTATTCACTTTACTTTATCATTTTAGGGTAATCACTTTAGTTATAAGCTTCCTTTTATTCATTTTTTACTGATTACCACTTAGGTTAGGTTATTCTTTTTTTCATTCATTGTTTAGGGTATATAGCTTCGCTTATTTACTATTTTAAGGTATAGCTTATTTACTATTTAAGGTTTAGCACTTACGTTTTATTACTCTATTATGTTTACATAATCTACATTTTTATTTTATTTCTTATGGATATTTCGACTACTAAAACCTGTTTGTACTGTTCTACAGTATGTAAAACAAACAGTTCTTTATATCGGCATATTAGGGCCAAGCATGGGAAAGAACCCATGCATTTCGATCAAATATTTCAGTGCATTTATTGCAGTAAGGCTTTGCATTCGACATATGCTTTGAAAAGACATATTGTACACTTTCATCCTACCATTCCTCTTCAACCATCAGCTCCCAATTCTGTTCTAGCCACTGACACTCACTCATCAAATTCTTCCTCACATATTCAAACAGTTCATCCGATCATATCACCCACCACACCTACTTCAATAATTTCCGCATCAACCCTAGAACATCAGTCGCCCTTCATTCCTATGCTGCCTCAATTTCACCTACACCATCAACTTCTACCACCATCATCAACTCCATTGCCACACAATCCACTTCTTGCACCAGTGTTCAACAGCAGATAAACTATATTCAGGTATGTGTACCAAAATGTTATTAAACAACGATGCAGCAAACAGTAATAATATTATGTTTTAATAGGTACTCAAAGGAAATCTAGGATCTTGTGCCCCCTTGACAATTGTCAAAGGTTATTTTCCAGATACAATGGCTTACATCAACATATCGAAGTTGATCACACCATCCTTTAGATCACACATCATTTAGACAAGTAATTATTAATTAGCATATGTATTCATAACAAGCCTCAAAAATAATCGACCGAATCATATAAAATACATTAGGGAACTGGTATTACGTTGAAAAATGATATATAGATTTTTATAAATCAACCACTTTTATCATTTGACTTAATTGTCATTGAACTAATCAGTCCTATCTTTATGTTTCAAAGGTTTCTGAACATTTCGGCATATCTTACAAAAAAAAAAAAGATGTAAATAAAATACATAGGATTATAATTACCTATTTGAAAATGTTTAAAACAATTATTATAATCAAAAATCAATATTTATTGATTACTGATTTTTTTTCCCTCGAATATTTAATCCGGTGCAAAAAGTTCTAGCAATTTGCCTTAAGGTACGATGCCTTGCACCATAGTTTCTTTTCCTAATTGTTATTATATTTAAGAGAATAAAACCAGTTCAAAAAAATAAGAGCTTCGAATAATACACAGCACATCATAATACATACATACATTCACAATATTAGATCAGAATGGCAAAAATAAAAGAGCTTCTATTAATACACCGCACATCATAATACATACATACATTCACAATATTAGATCAAAATGGCAAAAATAAAAGAGCTAATAATATACAGCACATCATAATACATACTTGCATTAACAATAATAGATCAAAATAGCTACACTAAAATGTGTGAAGAACCTCTAATAATAGTACTAGGACATATTACAAAAAATTGATTACTAAATAATCGATCGAGTAGTTGTATTGTGAACCATAAAATACACAATATTTATGATTACAACTATTGGCATATGACATAAATAGAATTGGAGCATATAGGTGGATATTGAAAAATATCATCAGTTCAGTCTTATTTCAACAATATCTGTGATATGATAAGTAACAGAAAAAATAATATAATATACATTAATCATAAACAGAATTAATCCTAATGGATTGCAAATGGGTGTTGGATATTGGAAACTATTGTTCCAAGTATAATTATAATCAACTTACAATATCGTCGTATGTTTTAACTGTTATTTTTTCAAGTTGATATTGCATCTAAATATAAATGAAAATGTTCATATATTCATATTCACAAATTCTTCAAATTCAAATTATAATCATTATTTTTTTACAATGAGAAAATGAACATTCATATATTGGCATTACTATATTCAAAAGCAGTAAATTTAAACATAAAACATATAAAACATGTTATTTTGCTAATATTAAATGTATAACTCTGTGACTAATTATAACTATATTATGATTTATTTGGAGTTGGATTTGACCTGTAATGTTATATAATTTATGTTGCTTTACTTTTTAATCAACTTGAGTGGTGTGTTTGTGTAATAACTCACTATTGTTGAAATGAGCATTTTGTGTATCTAATGATGCAACAAAGTTCTTCTCTCACAATTTATGGTATTTGGTTTCATTTGCTTATATTATCATTTCAATTCTATCTTTCAAATTTCTAATGTGAATAACATTTATTAACAGCTATATTGCGGAGATAAGTTTTTAATTATAATCATACATATTTCTTTTCATATTATGGTAATAGGTTTTGAATTGTCAATATGATTTATTTATTGTTACTTTACGGTAATAGGTTTTAAATCGTAAATATGATATTTCTTTTCATATTATGGTAATAGGTTTTGAATTGTCAATATGATTTATTTATTGTTACTTTGCAGTAATAGGTTTTAAATTGTAAATATGATATTAATGTTACATTACGGTGATACGTATTGAATTGTCGATATATTTTTTATATTATTACAGTATGGTAATAGGTTTTTAATTTTTATTACATTTTATAGTGATAGGTTTTAAATTGTGAATATTTGATTTATTATTATAACATTACTAATAATAAGTTTTGAATCATGAAGAATTGTGTTTGACTCGTGTGGTTGTGTGTTCTACTGGTATGTGGTACAATTTGTTTCTAATTTTCTTTCACGACATGCTTTATACTTTATACTTTACTCATTAATATTAACATTGTGTAAATAGATTTTAACTCGTAAACTACTTGTTGTAAATAACTATATATTTAATTCACATTCAATAAAAATATTACCACAATTATGCTTTATCTTTTTTTTTTTTAAAAATAGCTTTGTTTCAGTAGCAAAATTATGTGATCTAAAAGTTTTCAGTTATTCAATGTTGCATCCTACAGTTAAACTACTGTTAAAAACTGGAACAGTCCTGGATTTGAATAATGCACTTATTCTGATAATAAAGATTTTGTTCTAAAATTCAATCATTTGTAGTCAACAATTTTGAAGTTTTCAACAATTATATTGCACACTAGTATGGAACAGATATAAGAAATGGTAAAAAAAAAATTTAATTATACACGTAGTCTTGATATAATAAATACGAAAGATTGTAAATGTAGCAGTACTTGGCTTACATAATTATACATTTTTGTGATCAAGCAAATTTATGCACACACAAAATAGTTTACGTTTACCAGTGTTCTTCAATTGAAATCTACCATACATAACAAAAATCCAATATTGCAACAAATTTCTGACTGAATGAAAAATTATTACTAAACACCAAAATAAGAAATTGAGGTTAAGTTTCGACAGTTGCGACAAATGTTTTGACATATATGAATGCTCTGCTGTTGGTATGCCTGCTCAGAAGAATTTCTGATTTTTTGAATGTTGGTACCGTGATTTTTTCGTTTCAGCACTTTGTTAATCCGGTGTTTAGAGCCGTGTAATTAAAGGTGCGCCACACCTAACGAACGAACACGAACGAACATGTCGAACAAGAAAATACAAAGAAGAACGAACAGGAACACGAACGAACGGAAAAAATCCAAACGAACTTGAACAAGCGCTTAAAGCAGTGAGCGCTTGAATTTTCGTTGTTCGTAGATGTTCCGTGAAACGTCAGTTTTATTATTGATATGGATGTAAGCTTTAATCAGACGGCATTTTCACTGGTTTTTGTGTGATTTTTGTTTGTGTATTTTGTAAATATACTGTAAATAAATTATTCAATAATTTCACTCAGTTTTTGTATTTAATATTTATATTTGAGTCGTTTTCTTTCCTCAGCATTCATATTCGGAGCAAGCTGAACATTCCAGACTTGAGCTAACTATACTCAATTTTCAAACTCTCATCCTCAGCATATATGTTGAATGTCTATGTATGATAACAAGTTTAATATTTACTTGTAAAGACTGTCATTTCTTCTTTACTGCAGCTTCTGACATCCCAAACGTTTTGCCTACACTTTCCAAGTATCGTTTTTTTTCTAATAATTTATAAAAAGGGTCTTTA